GGCTCCCTCACCAGAGCTCTGGGGAGCCAGCGGGCATCACTGCCCTCAGTCCAACCCGCGGGAGGCCAAGGGCCAGGCAGGGGTTACAGCCAAACAGACAGGTAAGAAAATACTTCTGGTATTTCTCAGAAACAGCATTTAGAAACCACAGTTTGTTTTTTTTTTTACAGCTCCCCATAAAAAAAGATGGGTTTGGGCACAGGTGCCCCACTAGTAGAAACGCTTGTTCCGCTCCTGGCGTTTCTGGAAGACCACGGCTCCCACCACGGCGCAGACGATAATGCCCAGCAGGGCACAGAGCAGGAGCAGGAACACCTTCCAGCCCGTCAGCGGCCCGCTCCGGAAATTCCCCGTCGGGTCATCCACATTGTCTGCAAGGGAAAGAACAGCTGCAGACACCAACAGAACCTCGGGTCCCGGGCAGTTCTGCCAGGTGTCACGCCTTCAGTGCCTCCCAGACCTCCCAATCGCCCGCGGAAGGTTTCCAAAGCCCACAGGCTGACCTTTGGGAGATTTAAGGAGGCTGACCCTCGGCTCGATCTTGGTCCAGTCAACGGCCTCATCTTCTACAGGGTGCTCCACCATGAGCTGGAACAGCTTCATCGAGATAATGTCGTGATTGTCTGGGGAGCAATCATAAGCAGCAAACACCATCAGAAGCTCTGAGATATCCACACACTCAAAGCACCCCTCAGATCATCCTCTGCCAGGTCCAGTCTCCTTCCCTCCCAAGCCACCCTCATCCCCAGGTATCAAACTGCAATCCAAAGGGGTTCCTTAGCTCTCAGGTGCCTCCTTTCCCCAGCCATGGGTCCCAAAAGGGTTTCAAGAGCCCAGTGAGCAATCCAGAGCAAGGAATCAATGGAAGCTATCCAGTGCATGCAGTGTTTCAATCCCAGAATTACATTTTTAGGGTTGGAAGGGACCTCTGGAAATCCAACTCCCCTGCCAAGACAGGGCCACCTAATCCAGGCTCCAACCACCATGTGTTCTCCTGAGCAAAGCCCCTCTCACCAGAGAGATCTCCAGTGCCAGCAGAAGCACCAAAGAAGTACCCGGTTGGCAGCTGCACCCCTGCGATGTCGATGCAGTTCTTCCATTCATTCTTGTCTTCCACATCAGTCATCACCTGCAAAACCACGAGAGTCACACCAGAAATGTTCATAACCATGGGACAGGCTCCACCCTCCCTGCTCAAGCAGGGCCATCCCAAATTGCAGCCATATTTTCTGAAAAATCTTTGCCTTAGGATTTTTTCTCCTGAGAAGCTGAGAGGCCTTAGAAACAAAATGTAAACAATGATTATCTGCTGCTGTGGAATGCAACAGGTGCATCTGTGATTGGTCTCATGTGGTTGTTTCTAATTAATGGCCAATCACAGCCCAGTTGTCTCAGACTGTCTCAGTCAGTCACAAGCCTTTGTTATCATTCCTTTTCTATTCTTAGCTAGCCTTCTGATGAAATCCTTTCTTCTATTCTTTTAGTATAGCTTTAATACAATATATATCTTAAAATAATAAATCAAGCTTTCTGAAACATGGAGTCAGATCCTCATCTCTTCCCTCATCCCAAGACCCCTGCGAACACCATCACCCCAAATCACAGAGACTGTGTTCAGATGATTCATTAACATCTCCAGGAGGGACACTGCACACCCTCTCCAGGCAATCAATCACTTTTGGCACGCCACTCTCCTGCCTGGCTGCACCTCTTTTGGAGCTAGAAGTGCCAGAGAAGCACTGGCTGAGCCTCAAACACCATCTCCAGCCCCTGTTGGAGCCAGCCCTGCCCCTGAGCAGCTGTCCCCGTGGTCTCACCGTGAGGCGGCCGCGGGAGTAGCGCACGGCCAGGAAGGTGTCGTGGTTCTGGTTGCGCAGGTCGGCCGAGCAGCCGGCCAGCTCCGTCCAGCGCCCGTCCTTGCTGTGGTCGTAGCTCAGGGAGCCGTTGTTGACCATGGCTGAGATGTAGGGGAACACACGCTGTGGGGACAGACAGGGGACATGCTGAGGGAGCTCTGGGGCGCAGACAGAGCCCGCAGGGTGGGAGCAGGGCACGGCAGCACAGCCCTGGTCAGGCACGGAGCACGGGATGGGCACGGCTGCTGCTCCACCTAAAGCTGCTTCTGAACCAAGCCTGAGCTGCCTAAAGCAGAGCCTCCCTTCCTGAGCTCCCATTTCAAGACCCCCATCCTGTGATTCTGTGAATGAACCCACCCTGTACTCCATGGCCAGGGCAGCCAGAGCGTCCCACACTTGCAGAGTGGCTGGGTAAAAACCCCAGAATCATTTAGGTTGGAAAAGACCTCTGAGAGCATTCAGTCCAACCTGTTACCAATCCCCACCTTGTCAGCTACCCTGAGTGCCACATCCAGTTGCTCCTTGAGCACAAGACCCAGAATGGACAGAAATCTACAGAAGCAGCAAAACCACACACAGGGTTTTGTGATCAGTGGATTACCTACACCAGAAGAGGACAACTGGAGGCAGGAATTCACCTCCCATGAGCATCAAGACAACAGGGAAATGGGTCATTTCCAGATGCTTCATCACTTTTTTATCATGGTTTGGATGGTACAGACCCCAAAGCACAGTTCTGTTTCCTGACTGTGCCATAATGGGATCCACAAACACAGAGCAGGACACAAGAAAAGGATCCCCAGCCCTCACAGGACTGATCTGTCCTGTGGCCATGGAGAATTCTGGAGCAAAAAGGCAGCCCAGGAGTTTCTTTCAGACACACACAGGTTGCAAAGAGAAAATAAGAGCAGAAACATCATGGGATGAGTATCCAAAGCACAGAGGTCAGGGAATAGCAATCAGGATGAATACTGGCAGGTGGTGCTGGGTTTACACCAGCTCTGTGCCTGCTCTCCTGTGCAGAGAAGATGCCTTGGAAACATCTGTGTAGCCAAGAGCAGCACAAGAAAGAGCAAGGAGCTTCTTATCTCCATCAATGCACACAAACTCTTCTCTTTCCCAACTCCCAGGAGAGGAAGAGCAGACCATGCCCAACTAGGGAGAGGCTTTTCCTTGGATCAGGTGAGAAGCACTCGGAGCAGGAAGGGAACAGACTGCTGGGCACTGCACAAGCAGCCTGGAGCACTCACCTCTGTGGCCTCATCATTGGGATAGGTATCAAGGAAAATAGCCAGCCCATGGAAGTTGTCCTTGCTGCCAAAGACAGGACCTGGAACAGGGCAGAGGAGTGGAGAGAGGAAGAGACAGAAGGAAGTGAGAACCTGTGCTCAGAGAGTTCTGAGCTGTACGAGCTGTTGGCTGCCAAGCAAGTGGCTGATGGCACCTGCTGCCCGGGCAGAGCACACGGGACACGTCAGCCCAGCCTAGCGAAACCAGAGCGGGGAGCTGCGAGCCGTGCCTGCCCAGCTGCGCCCCGGACGGGCCCCGTGTGCTGCGGGCCAGCGGCTCCCGGCACCGACCTGGCGTCAGGCGCTCCTGCGTGTACCACAGCGCCAGCCCGTCCCCATGCAGGTTCTTCTTGCCGGCTCCGTGGATCTTGAAGTGCACGTGGAGCTCCCAGTCCTTGAGGAAGCAGGGCTGTGGGAGACACCGAGCCCCGTCAGGCGGGAGGCGCCAGGCCCGCGCCGACCCCCGCCGACCCCCGCCCGCCCTGCCCCGGCTCTCACCACGCGGTTCCAGATGGAGCCCTCCCGACTGCGCTCGTCGGGCGTGAGGCGCACGTACTGGCTGGTGACCATGGTGCTGCCCGTGAAGTCCCACAGCGGCATGGCGGCGGAGCCCGCGCCTGCAAAGGGACCGACAGAGCGCGGATCAGCCCGGGCTGCTCGGGGGGCGCCCCCTGCGTCCCCCCGGCCCCGCGCTCACCCTGGTACGGCTTCATCAGCGAGTGCTCCCGCTTCAGGTGCTCGCTGTTGCCATCCGTGAGCTCGGCGGGCACCGGGCGCGGCCCGGCCAGGGTCAACAGCAGCGCGGCCGCCGCCACCAGCCCGCCCGCACCCGCCGCCATGCTCCGCTTCCGCCTTCCCCCGCCCCGCCCTCAGCCCCGTCTCACAACTGCAGCAGCCAATTAGAAACCCGTACTCACTGCGGTCCTGCCCCAGAGGTGAGCGGCATCACTACCCACCTATGGCAGGGGAGAGAGGCGGGGCCAGCGGGGCGCGCAGCTCCCGTAGTGCGGCGGGAGGCGGGAGTAGGGGGCCGAACGCCCTCCCGGCGCGCGTTACGCGTGCGCGACGGCGCAGGGCACGCCGGGAGGTGTAGTCCGCCCGCCTTCCCCGGGCCGCCTCACGTGCGCGGCTCGTGCCGCCCGCGGGACACGTGACCCGCCCCGACGAGTCCCGGGAACGGGAACGGGAACAATGGGATCGGGAACGGCCACGGCATGGGAACGGGGAACGGGAACAATGGGATCGGGAACGGCCCCGGGATGGGAACGGGGAACGGGAACAATGGGATCGGGAACGGCCCCGGGATGCGAACGGGGAACGGGGACAATGGGCACGGGAACGGCCCCGGGATGGGAACGGGGAACCGGAACAATGGGCTCAGGAAGGACAGGCCGAGGCAGCATGGAGGAGGTCACAGCCGCTTTATTGAGGGTCGCAGGGCAGCCCCCGCCCCGCTCCCGCAGGTCTCCCTCCGTCCCTCCGCCACGGCAGCCATGGGGGCCAGGGAGCGGAACCTCCCGGCCCTCCGGATGGGCACCACCGGCCCGGCCACAGCAGCTCTGGTTGGGACACAACGCGTGTGGTACCAACAGGGACAGGGCGCGGGGACCCCTGGGCGGCACCGGGCACATCCCTCCGGTAGTGGCCGGTCCTGTCTTCATGCTTGTCCCGAGTCCTGTGCGCACATGGGGACTCCCCTGGCCAGCGAGAGGTGCTGAACGGAGGCAGCACCGGTCCCATCCTGCGGGAGCACAGGGGACACAACACTCTGGTGCCTGGCGGTGCAGCCAGCTCCGTGTCGGGGTGCCCGGGGTGCCTGGGGCAGTGTGTGGGTCACAGCAGCCCCTGTGGGGTGTGACAGCAGTGTGGATGCACAAGTCCTGGGCAGGTTCTCGTGCTGGACGTGTGCACGCCCTCAGCACAGTGGGACACGTACTTCCCTCCAACAGCACGGGGGCTGCAGGGGATCAGGGGTGTGAGGAGCCCGTGGAAGCCCAGGAGGCAGGGAGAGGGGCAGCCGATTGATTTGTGGAAGATTGGGTAGGAAAATCATCCAAGCCTGGCAGTCTGAGGCTCAGGGCCCAGCCGAGGCTCAGGGGGAGCCGAGGGGCATGAGGGGTTGGCCGTGGCGTAGGGACCTGCAGCTCAGTCCCGTCTGGCACTTGGCAGCTCTCACTTCTTCCTGTTCATGATCTGGCTGGAAATCCAGTTCATCCCATCCTGGAGGGAAGAAGGATGTGAGCACAGGCCCTTGGGCCCAGCTCTGCAGAGCCCACAGGCCCCCATCCCTACCTGCACCCCTTCCCCAGACAGGGCCGAGCAGGCCTGGATCTGCCACTCCCGGTCCCGGTAGGTGTGCAGGCTCAGCCCCTCTGCGATTTCAGCTGCAGGTGCTGCAGTCACCAGGTCCTGCTTGTTGGCAAACACCAGCAGTGGAACCCCCGTTAGGGACTCGTCCTCCGTGAGCTCTGCCAGCTCCTGCCAAGAGAAAAGCTTCTCCCAGGGCTGCTGCCCTCCTCCATGGAGCTGGACACCTCAGCCCTCAAAATGTCCCATCTCTCCTCTCTGGTGCTCATGGCAGATAAGGAATCTTGGCATTCCAAGGGAGAGAAGCCCCCAAAGGAGCTTCACCTCCTGGAGCTCCATCAGCCCAGGAGCCACATGCAGGGCTGCTTGAGCACTGAAATCCTCGCAGCCCCGAGAGCCCTGGGCAAAGGGCAGCTGCAGGAGGCTCCTGGCAGTGCCGAGCTGTCTGGCACACCCACACGGCCGTCTGGTGCCGGAACAGCCGGGGCTGGCACTTGGAGTCTCACCTTCCCCTCTCAGAGCTCCAATCCCAGCGTTTGTAGCTGAATTTGCTGCTCATAAACCTTTGTTTGGCTGTATCACTAATGGGGTGCTGTGGGGTGGGATGAGAGTTGGGGACTGAGGGGTCACTTTCACCAGGGACTGTCACCCTGTGCTTGGAGCATCCCAGCTCAGGGGGAGCTGCAGGGCCATGGAGTGGGGCATCTCTGCCTGCTGAGATCTTGAGCCTTCCCTCAGAGCTCTGAGGACAGCATGGACCCCCCCTGCAGCACTGCCCATAATTCAGAACAGCTTTGCTTCCCCCTCGTCCCCACAGAGCTGGTGCCATACAGATCTGAGCCCCAGCGCCCCACAGCCACCCCTCATACCTGCCCTGTCTCCTCGAAACGCTTCTGGTCTGCGCTGTCAATGACATAAATCTGCCGCGGGGACAAAAGGGACAGTCAGGGGCTCCTCCTTGCCGGGCTGCACAGCCCTTCTGTGGGGCCCACACAGGCCTGGGGGTGCTGCCCCACTCACCAGCAGGTCTGTGCTGCCCAGGTACTTCTTCCAGTAGGGCCGGATGGAGCGCTGCCCCCCGATATCCCAAACGTTCAGCTTCAACCCGTGGGACTGCACGCTCTTGATGTTGAATCCCTGCGTGGAGACACAAACCCCAGTGTCACCCAGGGGATGGGTGTGCCCTGCGCCCTCCGCCCTGCCCGTGGCCCCAGCAGCCCCTACCTGTGTGGGGGTGATGGTGCTGACCTCCTCGGACGCCAGGCGCTTCAGCAGCGTGGTCTTGCCCGCGTTGTCCAGCCCCAGCAGGACGATGCGGAGCTCCTGCTCCGGGGATCCCTTCAGCTTCTGGATGACGGAGAGCAGCCCCTGGGGACAGGGGGTGCTGGGGGAGCCCTCTGGGGTGCCGGGTCCCTTCTTTGAGAGGGGGGACTGGGCACGCTGCTGGCTTTGGGAGCCTTGTGTCTATGGCCTGAGCGAGCATCAAGGCCCGGCTCCCAAGGTGTTCAGGCTCGGGGTGGCCCCACAGCAGATCTGCCCAGCCCCAATTCCCCCCTCCCGGGTGTGGGACCACTCCCAGCTCCTGGGCACGCTGTGGGGCCATGCCCCAAGCAGAGCCCTGCTCTGGCAGCCCCTCCTGGCACCACCGCTGAGGGCTGGTGCTGCGCTCCCCCCTGGAGCCGGGGGGATGTCACGGACCCCGCTTACCTTCTGCACATCCCCCATGGTCCGGGAGTGGCTCCGGCCCGCGGCACCGCCTGGGGAGCTGCCGGGGGCTCGTCCCCGGGGCCCGCCGGTGGGTTCGTGACTGGCACGCTCCCCGTTGTTCCCGGGGGAGGAAGAGGATTACGGGCTCCGGAATTAGCTGCTGTTTCTCCATTTACCCACAGTGTTAAATAATGCCCTCGGCAAATCCTCCAGCCAGCTGTCGCCCCGCCGTCGCCTACCCCCGGGATAAGCCAGGTCCCCCCGGGCTGGGGCACTGGGGCACAGGGCATCCCCCTCCCCATGGAGGATGCCGTGCCCAGGTACAGGGCTGGCACAGCCTCACACGCTGGGATACCTCACACTGAGGCAACACCAAGCTGTCCCCTCGCAGGGTGGCAGAAGAAATTGCTGAGCTTGCTTGGGGCCACGTCAGCGAGTGCCACAGCTCCCCAGTGCTGCCCAAGGGAAACCACCAGGCCCTGGAGCAGGTTGAGGCTGGCTTGGCAGCAGCTGGAGCTTGGGGATGACACAGGACCAGAGGGGCTCAGACACATTCTCCAGCAGCCCACCCCCAACCCAGGTGGGGTGAGGGGCTCATCTGTTCTCCGTTTGGATTAAGTGCATTAATTAAGCAATGTCTTTGATTCCTGCATGCTGCAGTTCCATGCTCAGATCAGGTTTCCCAGCAGAGAGGTTGTCCTTGTGGTGAGGACCGTGAGTCACGCACTCTTGGAGAGACATTTTTATTTATAACTCTGGTGGCAAAGCCAAGCCAAACAACACAGCCACACTCCAACAAAGCAGAGGGGAGCAGCACGATCACCCCTCATCCCACTGCTGCTCCATGCAGTGGCAGGGGGCAGAGGGGCAGCCAGAGGTGCCACCCTTTGTTCCCCTCACCCAGAGACCCTGCCAGCCCTGTGGCTGCTTGTGGTGCTCTGCTTTTCTGCCTGCACACGGTGGGAAAGCTTCATTTTTTTCTGCATAGATCTGCACCCAACTTAATGTTAGGGTTCTGCTTTTGCTAGGTTAATCACCCACCTTACATCCCCGTTATTAGCATTTCCCTGAGCGGGTTGCCATGGTGCTCTGCGGTTTATCCTGCGCTCTTAGTTACTGAGATTTCCTAACAAATAACCCAAAATATCCTCCACTGGTTTGTGGTTGCTGATCAACATGGAACCCCGACCTTAGGAGATGGGCAAAACTGCTTAGGAATCACTTTGGTGACTCCACGCTGCACGTCCACTGCTCCTCACTGCCAGGTCCTGCTGGCAAACACAGCACAGGCAGCCCTCCCCAAACGCTGTCACTGGGGCCAGCCCCACACCCTCTGTGACCAGGGCAAGTGGCACCAGGCTGGTGGCACCAGGCTGGGCCTGCTGATGTCCCCCTGCCCCTGCAGCCCCTTCCCCGGGGTGATGTGATGGCCGGGAGGAGCCCCCTCAGGCTGCGGGGAGGGGACAAAGGGCTGGTGACCCCAGCCGAGCTGGGAATGGAGACTGGGATGGGTTTGGGAACAGGGATGCAGATGGGGATGCGATCACCGATGTAGATATGGATGGAGACAGGGACAGGGATGGGGATGGAAACAAGGACGCAGATGGAGACGGGATCGCGGATGTGGATGCAGATGGGGAATGAATGGGATAGGGATGGGAAACAGGGATGCAGATGGGAATGGGGACGGGAAACGGGGATGCAGATGGGACTGGGATAACGGATGCGGATGCAGATGGAGACGGGGACGGGCACGGAGGCGCCGCGGCGGCTCCCGGCCCGAGGCTGGGCCCGGTGTCCGCCGGGGCGGTGCCGGCGGCGCGGGGCGGGCGGGGGGGCGGCTCCGCTCCCCCCCGCTGCGGTCTCGGTTCCCATGGTGACACTTCCTGTGGGAGCCGAAAGCGGTAGTGTGGCGGTGCCGGGAGCGCCGGGCCGGGCCGGGCTGGGAGAGCCGCGCCGCCGGCCGGGGATGCTGCGGGGCCGCGGGCCGCGCCCGTAGCGCGCCGGGCCGGGCCGGGCCGGGCCGAGCCAGGCATGCAGGGCAAGGGCAAACTGCTGGTGGTCCACAACGGGCGCATGGTGAGTGCCCGGGGCGCCCGTGCCCATCCCCCGGAGCGCCGGTCCCGCCCCGGGGCTGTCCCGGCCGGCGGCGCGGCGGGAGCTCGGTACCGGGAGTGCGGAGCGGGCGGGCAGAGGGTGCGGAGCGGATAACGGGCACACAGAGCGATGTGTGGAGTCAGGAAACCGGCAGGTGGGAGGTGTGGGGCTCCTGGGCAGGAAGGGAAGGATGGGCATCCCAAGCAGGCGGAGCTGTGGAGGGTTTAGGGCCGGCAGCGGTGTCCGGGGTGGGTAACGCGTGTGGGGCCGGGGCGGTGAGCAGCAGGGCTGTGTGAGGCTTGGCAGCGTTGTAGGGGATGTGTGGCACTGGGTGGTGGGCAGGGGGATGGGGTCACAGCAGCCAGCAGTGCTGATGTCCGTGTGGATGCGGGCAGGGATGGATGGGGATGAGCAAGGAGCTGGCAGGAGAGAGGGACGTGGGACCGGGGTAAGGGACATGGCAGAGGAATGTGGGGTGGGGTGGCAGGGAGAGTGGGGCTGGGATGGTGGGTTTGGGATGGAGACAATCAGGAGCTGTGTGGTGGGCACAGCCAGCTGGGCCAGGGGCATCATGGAATGTGGGCACCCCTTCCAGGGGCATCACTGGGATGTGGGCACCCCTTCCAAGGGCATCATGGAATGTGGGCACCCCTTCAGTGGCCCCAAGCAGGGGATGAGACACAGCACCCTGCAGCGAGTGCGTGGCTGGGCTTTGGCCATGGAGGCTCTGCCCATCTCCCTGTTTGGCCACTCCACCCCAGGGCTGCTGTCTGGGGTGGCCCAGGCACCCCGTCCTGCTGTGCCCTGCACTGGCAGCACCCGGTCCCTTCTTTTGGGCATCTCCTCTGGTAGCTCCAGGCTCCAGGGAAGGAGGGAACAGGCAGTTTGCCTGCTTGGGGCTGTGGTTGTCCTTCCTTCCTTCCCTCCCCTCCTCCCCTCCTCTTCCTGTGCTGTGGAGGCTGCTTCTCTCCTCCCTTCTTGTTTGGGTGGCAGGTTACATCTGATAGCAGCTGCCCTTCCCCAATTGCTGGCCTGGCCCTGGGCCATGGAGGGGTAGGAGAAAGGCTGTGCCCCCTTTGTAGCTCTCTGCTCGCTGCCCTGGGTTGGAAGTGCTGTGTCTGCCCCTGCCACAGGGCAGGTAACACCAGAGCAGTGTTTGCTGGCAGTGCCTCTCGCTCTGGGCTCAGCTGGGCTTGCCCTGGTGCTGCTGCCACTCCACGGGGCCAGCAATGCCACACAGCCCCTCTGACCTCTCTTCTTTCCACTCCCACAGGGCCCGGCCGTGTCAGATGGAGGTAAGGCTGCTCTCTGCCCTGGGACAGGGGCCCAGCATCACCTTCAGGGGAGAGGGAAGCCCACAGGCAGCCTGTGCCAGGGGCAGGGAGCCAGCAGGCAGCGAGGTCCTGTGTCAGCACAGGCTGTGCCAGCACTGGCCACGTCCCCCCATCCCTCCCACACGGCCCCTGGTGCCTGTCCCTCCCTCTGGCTGCTCAGCTGGCACTTTGGGGTGCAGGGGGCTGAGTGGCTTCCTGGGGCAAGGAAAACCTGGGTACCAGCCAGACCCAGGTTCCCTAAGGGAGTCTCTGTATGTCTGTCGGTCTGACTGTGCACTGGTTATCTCAGATGGTTTATTTAGCTGTGTTGGCTCCAGTTACGTGTGGTTTAGCCCACCAGGAGGATAAGTACAGGGGGCCTGGCAAAGGAGCAGCCTGACACACCTCCTCTGTTCCTGCCAGCTTTGCCAGGACAGCACTGCTTCCATAGCCTCACCTTCTCTTGCAAATGACCCCCTGCTTCAGCTGCATGCCAGTCAAACCAGTTCCAAAGCTGGGCTTGCCCCTGGGAACTTCCATCTTTGTGAGCACATGGTCACCCTGGGTTTCCCCAAAGTGGGGTTTCCTCAGGGTTAGGAGCTGGAAATGACATTTTCTGTGCCCTCCACATGCTGGGTTTGTCCCTCATCTTGGCCAGAGGAGTAGAGAAAGTGGGTTCAGGCACCTCTGCCCATCTTCCAAGCTTCCCTCTACTCTGTGTGCCCTCTGTGTCCCCTTGTACTCTGCTTTCCCCATGGCTGTCTTACCCCAGGAGATGAGTCACGGGTGGAGTCACAGTGACACCCAGGGTGGGCACAACTGCCAGCCCTGGCAGGGAGAGCTGTCATGCCAGGAAGTGCCAGCTGTGTCATCCTGGTGCTCAATCCTCCAAGGATGCCACAGTGATGCTCCTCATGTTCCCTACCCAGCACTCACCAGGTCTGATGCAGATGGGGCAGGTGGAGGCTGCTGGTGCTGGGGGGTGACACTGGGGGACAGGGAGACAGCCAGAAGTGACACTTTTTCTCTTTTAGACTTGAATGCCTCCCGGGCCCGTGGCAGCAACCACAGTGTGAACAGCCTGCCAGGGCCACCAGCCTCGTGTGGATCCACCCAGGGCTCTGTGGTCAGCTGGGCTGAGTCCTTCGAGACGCTGCTGCAGGACCGTGTGGCTGTCACCTACTTCACTGTGAGTGTCACAGCCCAGAGCTCAGCCCCTGCCCCGTCCACTCTGGGACACCAACTGTCCCACAGGCATGGTGCCACCAGGCCAGCAGCTCTCTCTGCCCTGCAGGAGTTCCTCAAGAAGGAGTTCAGTGCTGAAAATGTCTACTTTTGGCAAGCATGTGAGCGCTTCCAGCAGATCCCAGCCAGTGACACGCAGCAGGTACCAGCTTTGGGCAGCTTTGCTCCCAGCTGCTGGGAGGGATGTGGGCAGAGCTGTCCAGGGGTCCTGGCAGACCCCTTTTCTGGGGGGCTGAGCAGGCTGGGGGCTCTTGAAGAAGGAATAAGGAGATGGATGTGATGTGCATCTGAAAAGCCACAGCTGGGACTGCCTGCCCCACAGAGCAGGATGTGCTTCCTCTGCCAGAGGGTGGAGAGTGTTTCTGGGGAGACAAACAAGACAAGGGCAGAGCTAGACAGGGGATTAT